CGAATGGGAAGCGTTTACCAGAAATGGAAGTGTTTTTTTCAATTGGCATTTACATATGCTATGTAGTTGACCTAATCGTAATTCAGCAACAAATGTAAGGCGCAATTTGGAGCACAAGCACAAATAAAATAAAAACAATTAAAACAATTAAGCTTATACAAAGGCGATAAATTAGAAGCTCTTATGTTTTTTGCAGAGATTGTGCATGGCAATGAATTAAATGTATTTTTATTGTGTAGTACACCCGATTTGATTGCCATATCAGTGAGATGTTTTTTTTGCGCAGAAATTTAAAATTCTTTCGGAGACATCTGTGCAAATTTTAAATATTAAACATCTGCTTCATTTTTAGGATTTACTGAACATGCAAAAATGCTCACATTTTGAGTGGTCCATCAATCAAGCTAAGATTAATAGATGCAATCGCGGTTAATATTTTTTTCGGGGTTTATTTTTTTTTTGTGTCTGAGCTCATCAGTGACAATTTATCAATCATTAACCCAACCCAAATGGGCAGCCATGTGACGAGGATGGAGGGTTAATAACTCGAAGAGGACAAAAAATAACCACTAATTAGAAATTTATAGATAAAAATCAAGTGAAATATGAAGCATGTAGAAATACAAGTGCACAGAAAACAATTTAAGGGGATTGGAATTTGAATTGAGTCTAATTTATAAAGAGTTTTAAGAGTATATTTTGAAATATTGGAATTTGTTTATTTGCATAATATTTAATGGGAATATCGTTATAATTTGTACAATGCTTGAGAGAAAGTTTTAATAATACTTTAATTTACTTTATATTTATTATTATTTGAAGGTTTAAACTTGTTATTCTTTCTGTGTATTCTCCACTTAACATATGAGTGAAGCAAACCCGAAAAACATGCCAGGGTGTGAGGGAGAAAGAGAGTAACGGAGGCCCGAAAAGGGCTCTGGATCCCCAGCTCCATCCCCATCCCCATTCCCCACCACTTTCGAAGAGAGTGAGAGAGAGAGAGAGAGCCAATGGGCATGCTAATCACGCACACAGCGATACGAACAAAACAAAAACAAAGGCAACAGAACGGGAAACACACACACAACAGGCAGCGAAACAAAAACCCCAATTCGAATTCGGCCTGCTGAAGTTTCCTCGGCGCCTGTTCAAATAAGTTTCAAATTTTGACAAATAAAACCATGGTTTTGTAATTTACGATTTACGAGCGTACGCTATTTTCATAATGATTGAGCTGGAGTCGTTCAGTTGAGTGGAGTGTTTGCAGTTAGGTCTCGTTTCCCACAGGGGACGACATGGGAAAAGGACCTCTATACATATTCGGTTCTCCTTTCCATATTTGTTCTTCTTCTCTGTCTGTCCCACAGCTTCCAGAGGTCGTGCAATAAAACGGGATTATGTACGAGTGTTTTTGGTGTCTACTGTTTTGTTTGTGTATACACCGATACAGTGGAGACTCCACCAGAAAGAAAGCTTGTTATAATCTGCAGGAATCTAGATCGCATTAACAGCTGAGTCGATCTAGGTATGTCTGGTTGATAAACACTTTTTCGAAATTTGTTCAATTTAAAAAAAGAAACAAAATTAGGGGTTACATCATTAGAATTGTCAAAAATTTAAATTAACTAAAATTTAAAATGGAGTATAGATTTATTTACCTAATAAAAGCTAGCATTGGAAAGCTTTCCGAATTAATGTGATTTTTAAACTTTGTTTTGCTGAATACAAATTAACAAAATTGCTCAATACCTTATCATATTGCAAGGCTCCCCAAATCTTCAAATTAATAATAAAAACCCCAATTTTGATCGACCGAGATTACACTGTAGTTAGGGGACCCTTTTTTAACCAGTTGCTAAGGGGCCAAGGGGTTGGTTACTTGGGTGCAAGCTTGCTGCAGGGGATGGAGTCGGCAGCATTTTGTTGGCTGTTGGTTGGGGCCTAAAGAAGCTGCAACGACGGACGGAATGTGTCTAGACGTTTGATTACCGGGCAGACGCAAACGCAAACGCAAACGCAGACGCAGATGCCGCGAGGTCGCGGCACAGTGGACTTGAGGCGACATTTAAGCGTGGCTCTCTAATCGTAATTGCCCTCGATTCTTTATGCCTCTTTATTGGTTTTTTGGGCTTGGCTTCACTAAAGCTGACATAAAGTGTTTGCTTATCAGCGCCTGCTTCGGTCCCAGACGGTCATGTCTTCGTCATCTTGTCATCGATGACATAGTGGTGTGAAGCAGATAATGGGATAAGTGCGAAAATGGCTGGGTAATTAGGCTGGGAATTTATGGCCACGGGTTCGATAGAGATTAGGAAATACCAAGAGCCAATTATTACGGCCTGGGAGTGCTGGCAGTTGGGTCTATATATTTATAATTAATTGTTAATCAAAATCACTAGTACAAAGTCTTCTTAAGTCTTAAGAAAAGTTCTTAAACTGCAACTAAGAACCCCTTTAGAAGTAAATATCTGGCTACTAATCATTTAATATCCTATATCCGGTTTATGTCTAGTAGAAATGGAATTACCACAAAAGAAGGATCGATTGTCTGTAGCGAATCCGGTTTTACGGATCACGTCATCAATCCGGTTATGAAACCAGGTTCTTCTGGCTTGAATGCCTAAATCGCATTCCTGAATTCGCCACATGCCATTTGAGTTTTAGGTTCTCGATTCTCAAGGTAACCGATGCAACCCCCGATTCCCGTGGCAGGAAAGAACGCACGTAATCTTGTTCAGGGTTGGCAATCGGAATCTGGCCCTTTTTCTACCTGACTTACTTTCGACATTAGCGCTTATTATTGAAATCGTTTTATATATTTTTTCCTCTTTTCGTCACAGTGCATTAATCAGCATTGTGTTACTTACTACCCCTTTGTTTTAATAACGCGCATTTCAAATACTATATTTCACAATGGATTATATTATATAAAAATTGCTCAATTTATCATATGTACATTTGCACTTACGCTTTTTTCACGCTTTAATGTCTTAAGTTGATTATACTATCTGATAATATACTTTTTTCTAAAGTTCCTTAAATCATTTAAATTAAAGTATTGATAAGGCCTGAAATTAATTTATTAAAAACCATTGTGCACTATTGCCTATTAAGATTTAAGGATTTTACGCAATATATCCTGTGACAACCACTGTTCCCCCATAAAAATCAAGGACTCCTCGGGCTGTCTGAGTGAACTGTCGATGGCTCTGAGTTTTTTCAACTAAATTTTTACGGGCTACTTTTTTTGCCAAAGGTCAAATCAAAGCGAATGAGCCTTTGAAACGGGGGCCTTGACTTTTGCACTTTTGCCAAATGTTTGCAGGAGGACATTGAGCGAAAAAAAAAGCAAACGAAGGACACATGCCAGAGGAGAGGCAGTAAATAATGTTCAAAATCGGAAACTCACCACGAATGCCTCAAGTGTCGTCCTGCTCGGATGGCTTGTGCGGCGGGGGTGGGGGTAGATAAACTGGAATTTCTGCCTCTCGGTGTTTTGATTTTTTCTTGTCTCTCTGTATTCCTCTCTCTCTCTCTCTCTCGCTCAGCTGCTTCTGCTTCTATGTTGTTGTTGCTTTGTTTTTGTTTATATGTGTAATCCTTTTGTTTCTATGCCTTTTGGCGCGCAATTTTCTTGTTGTTATTGTTGTTTCGCTAGTTTGCAATGCAATTTTTTAACACACACGCGAGACCGTTTTGTTATTGTTGCGTTGTGATTGCGGTTATTGTTGTTATTTCTTTTGCAATTTTGTATTTTCCAATTTGCATTTCACGTTTTTGTTTTGTTTTTGTTGGTTTCGCAGCAGCTTCGACGACTTTGACTTTGTTGCCACACTCACGCCACACACACAGACACGCAATCGCCAAGGCACACACACGGACACGAGGAAACCCGAAAACAACAACAAAACAATTGCGAGGAAGCTGCTGGCGTCTTTTCTTTACTTTGTTGTTGTTTTTTTTGCGATTTTCTCAAGACTGCAATGCCGATTTTACTGTCTAGATTTATGGCCTTTTTACAGTCTTAATTGCAATTTCTTTTTGCATTCGAACGGAAGCTGTGATTGTCCTAAGAGGAAATCATAACAGTTTGTTTACAAAATCAATCGTCCAGCATTTCGGGTTATTTTCCGCGCCGAATTCCCGTTTATTTTCGTTTTTGATTTGATTTGCTTGAAGAAACTTAACTTCTTTTAATTATAATACTTTTTGGAATATCATTACACTTTTCAAAAGTTATTAATCAAAGTGCGGTTTGCAACGCGAGCGACGTCCGGACCGGAGTTTTCAGAGATTTGTTGTTTCTTTTCGACTGAGCTCTTGCACTCGTATTTATAGGTTTCTCCAGCTGCCGATCAGCCAAAATATCGATAGGTATTGTGGTATTTTTTGTATATTTCTCTTTTGGTCACTCTATTCCGACTGGTCACACAAACATAAGAGAGTTAACAGAATTTTGCGGGAGAATTTAAAAAAATGAGAGGTTACAGAATATCGCGGTTAAAATGTAAAAGAGAGTTCAGAAAATGAACTGAAGCACTGAAGGTTACTATGACCATATAATGTAAATTCAAAACTTGATTTCAATGAGTGTTTCTTTAATATAATATTAAGTATAGAAATGTATTAAGTTCGTTTTATTTACTATAGTTTATACATTACGTTGGCCTAATTAATTGTATGTCGGATGCAAGGCTGCACACATTTCCGGCAAATTGATCTTATTAAAAAATTTTAAAGGTACTTGATTTTGTGTCTGTTGATGCTTTTAGTGTGACCGCCACACGAGCATTTTAAATATTGAGCTAGTGGCGCCACGATAACCGATAGAAAATATATAAAAATCGATACACGCTCATTTAAAATTACACCTGCTAAAAGCTTTTTCGAAATTGGAGACTGAGCTTTGATTTTGGCAGCATGCAACAAAAGCGGGTTTTCAGTTAGAGACTCTCCCATAAACAAGACGGTTTCTTGTTTTCTCCATCGCTGACGCTTTTTTCTCCCCCACATTTGTTTTTGTTGTTTGCGTGTCTTTATCGTGTGTTTATAATAATAATAACAACAAGTGATTATTAGAATTACGGAGAGCATAACATAAACATATGCTTGGAAGCAAAGTGATTTTCAGTTTCTGCGAATAAAAGCAGTTCCTTGCTTTCGATTTATCTGAGTTTGGGGTTAATATTTTTTGGCCACCTCCCAGTTCCCAGTGTTTGTTACATATACCCCGCCCCCGTTCGGCTATCCCCACTGTCTTCCTTTTATCCTTGGCGCCACAATGGTGCGATGGAGCGCTCGGTCGCGACGTCAAGCGCGCCAGGATAAAGTGGAGCTATTGGCCAGCAACAACAAAGTGAGCGGCGAGGACGATACATCCGATAATGGTGAGTGGCAGGGGAGTTTGCAAAAAACAAAAGTGGGGTATTATAAAGTAGAGCAGTGATGTGCGGAATATACATATATAAATATATAAATATATATAAAACACAGAACTAGATGGATAATGCCACAATTCAAATAAGTTGTAGTTTTGACTTCCTTACTTTGATACTCTTTCACGGTATTATAATGTCAGTCAGAAGCTTGTAACAATATGAAAAAGTCTTTTTCTAATTATTTTAATTTTTTTTTTTTCAAAAATCGTTAAAATTTTTTTTAAATATTTAGTTTTTTTATTTCTAAATTGAGTATGCAGATTTATTACCCTAATCAAAATTAACATAAAATTGGTTTCCGAAATCAAATTAATGAATTTTTGGCTTAGTTATGAGACTTTTAAACTTTAAAAATTAAAATAATTGTGTCATTAAAATATACATAAATATAACTTAAAATAATATAAATATTTTAAGTTAGTTAATTTTGTTATCCTATTTTGTTCCGTAATTCATTTGCAAACTACAAGAGTATATAAACTTCTGTGTCTATCTTGTTTTAATAATCGGCTTAGTGACCAAAAGCAAAGAAAGCTCAAACATTAAAATTGTTATTTAAATTTTTTGCTGCGTTTGGTAAAACCTGTTTGCATTAAATATAGTCTTTCTTCGTTTCAAATGTGCTGGCAAAAGTCACCCCAAACTTGTTTTAAACTTAACTGTGAGATAAAGAAAAACTATTGCACAAATCAAGAAACGTCAAATAGACAATTTAGATAAGTATTTAAAAGTTCTTAAGGACTTAATTGATTTAGTTTGGTAAACCTCCTATATCTAAAAGGCAGAGCTCACAATTAAGCTGTTAAAACGATTGTCATTTTGTCTATTTGCGGATTACTTTTTTACGAGTGTCCTTATCTTAAACACATTTTCCACCTTTTTCCAGCCGCCTTCCGGAACTCAACGGACCTGACCGACCATGATGAAATTTTCTTGAAGGGATTACTGCGGAGCAATCCCAATACGCCGCACAAGGAACTGATGGTAAGTAGACCAGAACCCATGAACGTAAAAGTCGTGGCGAAAAAAATAATATAGAAGCTGGCTGCTACAATTTCTGACCCACTTATGCCTCCCTCGAGCATCTGTTCAATACGAGAAAATTGCGCATATGTACGATTTTCCACGTTTCCACGTTTTCCATTCGCACTCGCACACACTAAGGCGCAATCTGTGTTTACTTTATTGATGGCATTGCATGCTGATTTTCGTTCTAGATAGAATTTTCCGGGCGTGTGCTTTCCTTATTACATCATTTTCCTTGGCCCCCTCACAAAGTAATCATTTACCAGTCGAACTCAAACCCTTCTTGGTGGCTAAAAATAATCTAATTCAAGCCACAAATCCGTTCTAAGAGACTCTCTAGGTTAAAGCCTCAATTGTTTTTCCTCTCTTTTGTCTTTTTTAATGGCCATTATTATGGCTAATGTTTTTTGCTTTCACACTTGTGTATTTTTCGCACTAAACTTGACCTCCTTTGGTCTTGGCAGATGAGTTTGGATTTTATGCAGATGGTGAGGAGGAGATTATTTATTAGATCATCGTGATATAATTGCTTGACCTGCAAAAGATTTTCTTTTCTTTGACGCCTCTTTCGAGTTTTCTTACATGAAAGTTTTGTGGCTTAAGCAAATAGTAAATAATTGTGTGTTGTTTATGCGGCAAACACGCAGAGACTATAAAACAATGAGAAATGGGTTTCTTACTTTCAAGACGAATTTATATTCTCTGTAAAAAATTAAGCCCACTTAAGGATATTTATTTATTAATTTTAATGATCTTAATCAAATGCTGATAGATTGATATAATATATCAAATTTATATTATGTTTAAAGTATGTTGGTATTATTTTATACATTTTTTATTTATTTATATTGCCTAATAAAAAAATAAAAAACCTCTTCCAACTTCACATTATTACCACCATTATAGCCTTAAGTAAAGTTTGCTAAAACAAAACAACAATCCAAGACCGCAAATATAATGGAAAGCGACATCGCGTGACGCGGATAATTAGAATCCAACATTTTCCGAGGAATTTTCCTGGGCAGGTTGGATTCGATTGTTGGTTTTTATGCTGCGGTCGGTCGTCACGACGCGAGTTGAGAAAGGCAGTGAAAGTAATTAAAACCACGAGTCACGAGATAAGAAAATATGAAATGTCACTTACCATTTTCATTTCAAATTACAATTCCTCCTCTGACACTCCCCCAATTTATATGTAGATTACATAAAATAGGTCTCAACTCTTTGACATCAACGCCCCGGAGAAGAAGTCGCGTTTTCCTTTCTGTGTGTGAACAAGAAAACCGGTTTTGAAAACATTTTTCAACATAAAATACAAATAACACATGCCAGTCCCAACGACGCTTTTAATGTTACCTGAGTTCAGTTTGAAAACGATGCAACAAAAAGCGCTTAACTTGTTGGCCTACTAATGCAGGTGAGAGAGCCGCAAGCTAAGAGCTTTGCTGGGAGCAAGAAAATGTTTGAGTTGGCTTTGAGATGCTGTTAAGATCAGCTTAGTTGTTGGTAGGAATATACAGAAATGTTACATAAAGGTCTTAACAATTGGTAATTATAGTTATCTGAAAACATGATATAAAACCTAAAGAATATATATAATATAGAAGCTTTAAATGAAAAATGTAATTAATAAATTATTATAATTACAAAACATAAAATTAAATTTTATTTTATTGACTTTAAGATGCTTTTAAGACCGCCAAAGATGTGCAGAAACGTTACATAAAGATTTTACAATTAGTATAAATAATATACAAGCTGTAAATTAGAAACATAATTTTTGACTGGCAATTAAATCATTTTACAGAAATTTCTTCATGTTACTGTCACCTTATTTAAATTTTCTTTTACTTTAAATGCTCACTGCACAACCTCTGAATATTATTGCAGAAATACTGCATTTATTCCTTATTAATAAAGAACTCTAATAAGTACAAATAAATTAATGGTTTTATCATTAAGTTTTTCTTTCTCTGTAAATAAATAACATTTCTTTTACAGTGTTGACCCCTGTTAGCTCAAGTTTGCATTTAAGCCACTGTTATAAGTCACTTAACAGTGCTGCGTACAGTTGTAACATGCCCCGCTCTGAGCTTTTACACACACATACACACACACCCCAAGCAACTCGTTGAAACACACGGCAAGCTAGCAAGCGAGAGAGACAGAGCGATGGCTAGCCCTCGATTCGAGAGCTTGTGAGTCAGATTCAGTTTTCAGTTTTCGTTTCACTTACTTTCGAGCAGTGTTAAGGTGAGGTTGGTTGGGTCTGAAAATTCCGGTTTCAAGCGCGCGTTACGGTCTATTGTGGCTCATTTGAATGAGTGAGCATTGAATTGCTGCTGTATTAGTGCTAGTGAGCGTGTGTGTGTGTGAGCAAGAGCGTGGCTTAAACGGGGCGGCATATGCAACAGTTAGTTCTCTCTGACTCTGGGCTCTCCCTATTTTCCGCTCTCGGTAAACATTTATTAAATTAAATGCAACAAATTTCATATAAAAACGTGAAAAGCAGGTGCTAAAACTGCAGATCAATAAACGCAAGTGAAAAACGGCTAAAATTGGAGCAGTTATTATTGTGTTATGTGTGTGTTACTGCCTTGGTTACCTCTATTCCGGGAGCTTTGCCGAGCTTAAACTGATGACGTAGTTGCCAAGAATTGTTTTACCTCGCCGCTCCCTCACCCCACATTGTGTAACCTGGCCAACAACAGACTTGGCCATGTTTTGGCATTTCCAAAAGAAAAACCCAAAACTCCACACTATTCAAAAAAAAAAACAAACGCTCTAAAGAAACACTAATACTAATCAGCCAAGAGAGAGACTCTCCCGAACTCACACACACAGACACACAGCTAGCCGCTCTTTTGGCTTTAACTGTTCACTCGCTTTTTGGGAGTGGCTCCCCAAAAAAAAAAATTTTTTTTAATAATATATAAACATATAAAAAGGCATAATAGCAACTGTAAATCCAATTAAATAAAGACACAATTGCTTGCAGACAGCCATAAAAACAAATTAAGTGAGCAGTTTTCAAATAAAAACACATGTTACTTAATATTAAATGTGAAATAATAAAAAAAAAGTTTAAATACCTCAAAAAACAAGAAAAACTGAATAAATATAATAGATAACTAAAGAAATTCAAGTCTAAACCATTTAAAAAATTATAAACAATTAAATCACAACATAAACGAATTATAAACAAACAAAATAAGCTTAAAAAACTTCAAATTGGGCATTAAATATATTAAATTCACAACCAATTTGTTAATATTCACGTATTTAAGGTTGAATTTCCCCAAAAACTTGTATCAACCTTCACAAAATATAAAAAATAACAAGTAATACAACGCATTCCGTTGTTGTTTACCTGTTTCTCTTATTTTGTGTGTGAGTGCGTCTAATTAACAGTTTGCCTAATTAGTAAGCACCTGCTGCTACATTATTTTTTAAAAATTATACTTGACATGACGAAAACAATTTTGTCGAGTGGAGGTGAAAGCCCTTAGCTGTCGCCAAGCCATCGAGAAAAAAAGTATCAATTCCAATTGTGGGTGTGTGCAAAAAGCTAAAGGAAAAATAAATAAATAAAAAAAAAGGGTGGAGATAATCGCCTCGCGTGGGGCTTCTTCGCTCTTTTTTTCACACGGAAGAATTGCTATGATATGCTAAGAACTGAACGGAAATGCGATGCTTTTGCAGAATAAAAAATAAATATCAATAAATACACAAGTCAGCAAATGTCTCGATTACACAGGATTACTCATTAAGAAAATGGGGAGTCGTTGAAATAATAAAGATATTGCAATAAAGGGAATAAATATTAAAAAAAAGGTTGAGAGGAAGTGAGCAATAGAAATATTAATCTAACAAGAAACAAGAAGCTAAATATAGTGAGAAACTTATCAGTAACTTGAAACTTTTTGTGCTATCTTCATGGTTAAACATAAAATTCCCAACATTCCATTACGTTTTCAGCAAGATAAACTTCTAGAAATCTTTCCCAGACTATAGTTCTTATAAGAAGATACTCTTTTCTGAACTTATCAAATGCTCTGGAGATAGTGGTTTCCCATCAATTTGCAGAGAGCGAAAGAGAAATGCCATTCCGTCCCACGTGAATGCACATAAATATTGCATGAGGTTGACTCACAGATGAGTTTTCCATTGTCGTGGGTGGAAAGAATACACTTTATAAACTTAAGAAATGAAAAAATCATAATACACAGACAATAAAGAATGCCGGAAGATGAAATTATGTGCAATTAAAGCAGAAAATTCACTTTCCATGCGACCCAAATTCAAATGGCAAAGCGACCCAATTTTTGACCTAAGACTCCAAACATTTCCTTGTCTTTTTTTGGTTTGAGCAACAGCTCCAGAGGTCAAAAGGGGGTTAAGTGGTAGTGAGAGGTTGGAGGCTGCCCGAAAAAGCCCGAACCAATTAACGCACTCACTCAATTAAGACCGGGAGGCATCATAACTTGACCTAGGGCAGGCACGCCCCAGACAAAGACCAGCATTTAATTAGCCGCACATGACACACTCACTCTTCATTCGTGGTTTAATTTCTTCTTATTTTTGTTATCTTTTTTTTCAGCTTAACCCCACGGAGCCACAGCCAGTGCCCCTCTTCCTGCCCGCTCATCTGAACAATAAGCCGATCTGCGACGACATTATCCGCAAGTTCTCACCATCGAGGCGTCTGGAGTCCCGAGAGCTTGCCAAGCTTCTCGCCCAGCCACATTTTCGTGTAAGTAATCAAAGGAATATAAACTTAATTAAATTAAATCAAAAATATATGTATGCAAGTTCAGAAGAAACCATAAAATCAATATGTACAACATGTTTCTGCAGATTGCAAAATGTGTTATCAACAATGCGTGAGGAAAGGAAAGCTTCACTTTGTTTTCCCATTGAGATACTGAATATAATTCCAAAGAAATAATAATATAAATTAATCCAAAATAAATAAATAACAATTATACATAAATCTCAAAGTTAAAAAAAAAACACCAACATCTATGAAGCTACCTAAAAAGGTTTTAAGTCATATTTCTTATTTTTCATTATTCATTTTATCAAAATCGGACCACTTTATTATATAGTTGGTATAGAAAATATCGTTATATGAAGAGGAAAATCCAATATATCAGAAACATCTATAAAGCTATCAAAGAAGATCCCATCAAGTCAGCTCTTTTCAAATTATAATATTATTTAAATCCTGAAACTAAGTGCTAAATAAATTATCAAACTTTATTCATTTTTTAAGAACACACATTTATTTATCACAATTACTTTAAAATTGTTAATTTGCTGATGGAGAATTTTGAATCAAAAGCTTTTAAAGATGTTTATTTCCTGGCAACCTCCATTTATCGTCTCTTTGAAACCATAAAGATCTTAAAAAAGCAAACGTAACTAAACTTTAGGCTGATTATGTAAACACATTTGAATAAACAGGAAGTGATACCTTCCATATTATTGTATAAATAGAATAAATAAATGCTTTCCTATAAGCTCACTATGATATATCCATTTCATATATACATACAAATACAGTTGACCTAATATATATATCTTAATAACATATTACCATTAATTTTTTGTATACAAATTATTAAAAAATAACTATTTATTTTCAGGCCCTTTTGCGTGCCCATGATGAGATAGGACAGCTTTACGAGCAACGTCTGAAAGCTGCCGGCGGCTCCACCACCCAACTAGAGATCGCCAGTCAACGACAATCCGGTGGCTATCTATACACCGAGGACATTCTCAGCACCAAGATGCCAGTGGAGACCATCAAGATGGTGGGCCTGCGTCGGGATCCCAGCAAACCGCTGGGACTGACCGTCGAGCTGGATGAGTACAAGCAACTGGTGGTGGCCCGAATCCTCGCCGGCGGTGTTATTGATAAGCAGAGCATGCTGCATGTTGGTGATGTCATCCTGGAGGTGAATGGCACTCCCGTGCGGAGTCCCGATGAGCTGCAAGTGGAGGTGTCGCGGGCCAAGGAGAATCTCACCTTGAAGATTGGACCCAATGTCGATGAGGAGATCAAGAGCGGTCGCTATACTGTGAGTGGGGGTCAGGTAAAACAGAATGGCATCGCGGGTCTCGAGACGGGCAAGAAACTAACGGTAAGTTTGATGTTTGTTTATGTTTTTTATGGGAAGAATTGGGACAAATTCTTCCGGGAAAGATTTGCTGCTTGCTTGCATGATTACTGATTACTGATTATAATTATAATTTACTAGTTTTATGTTTGTAGATGAGCTTCATGAAAATTCAAATAATGAAATTATTGTTTATTAAAATATAGCTAAAACTAATCTAGACAAGTTTCTTTATCTATATGCTTGTTATGCCAAAGTTTTTATTATGAGTACCTTTTTATCTCATTTTCTTTTGAAAAATTTATTTACATTTAAATATGAAACAATTAGCAAGTTAAATTTATATATTTTATTATGTATCTTCATTTATTTGAGAGGCTTATACATCCTCCAACTACCTCAAAACATTTAATAATATTGAATAATAGTTGATCTCAGACCAAATTACCGTCAAAATTCTCAAATCACTTGCAACTAAGTAAGTAAATCTTGGTTTTGGCAATCATAATTATCTTTAAACTATTAATTAATTAATAATTAACTTTATTTGTTAACAGTGTTATATGCGTGCCCTGTTCACATACAATCCCTCGGAGGATACCTTACTGCCCTGCAGGGACATTGGCTTGCCCTTCAAATCAGGCGACATTTTGCAAGTGAGTTTAATAAAATATTTTAACACATTAATTCTACAAATAATTATTTATTTTTTAATACAGATCATCAATGTCAAAGATCCCAATTGGTGGCAGGCCAAGAATATAACCGCAGAGTCTGATAAAATCGGTCTAATTCCATCCCAAGAGCTCGAGGAGCGACGCAAAGCCTTTGTGGCCCCGGAGGCGGATTATGTGCACAAAATTGGCATTTGTGGCACAAGGGTGAGTTCATTTTTTATTCCTTTAAATATTTTTAAATTTATTATTTATTCCTTTCGAAATAGATCTCGAAAAGGAAGCGGAAGACCATGTACAGATCGGTTGCAAATTGCGAATTCGACAAGGCGGAACTGTTGCTCTACGAGGAGGTCACCCGGATGCCGCCATTCCGCAGGAAAACCCTGGTTCTCATTGGAGTTTCCGGTGTTGGCCGGCGAACGCTCAAAAATCGACTTATCAATAGCGATGTGGACAAGTTCGGAGCTGTTATTCCTCGTAAGTTGTTCAAAAGAATGAAACTAACTTTGGGAAGCCAAAGTTTGTATAACTTTTCATTTTACAATTGAATTATAGGATTGTTTCGAATATCCTTATAAATTATATCACATATTTATGATTTTACTTCAACTACTCTAGATACCAGTCGTCCTAAACGAGCCTTGGAGGAAAATGGCGTAAGCTATTGGTTCATGGACCGCGAAGAGATGGAGGAGGCGGTTAAACAGAATGAGTTCTTGGAGTATGGCGAGCACAATGGCAACCTTTATGGCACCCACTTGCAGTCCATCAAGGATGTGATCAATAGCGGAAGGATGTGCATTCTGGACTGCGCACCGAATGCCTTGAAGATCCTGCACAACAGCCAGGAACTGATGCCATTTGTCATATTCGTTGCAGCACCGGGAATGGAGCAGCTCAAGACTATCTATGCGGATCGAAGGGCCACCGGCTCCAATAGGAATTTATCAGTATGTTTTGTTTTAGCTAGATCCCCTAGAAGGCACTCCTCTAATCCAAGCACATGTATATCCACAGTTTGATCGCCAGAGTTCCATAAGATTCAGCTCCAGACGTGCCCGTACGCTCGAGTCCCTAGCATCGCTCTATGAGGTAAAGTTTTCTGGAGACCCTTTCTAAAATGTAAAATTTACATTGAAAATGTGATGATCTCACTCATCCGCTTGCTGCACTTAGGCAACCCTTGTAGCCCTTGTAGATCTCTGCCTGAATACCCAAACATTGCTTAACACATTCGATTTGTATGATTCGTTTCAACAGGATGATGACCTGGTGGCCACCGTCGAGGAGAGCAGCTTTGTTCAGCGCAAATACGAGAAGTACTTTGACATGGTCATCGTCAACGAGGACTTTGATGAAACGTTCCGTCAGGTGGTGGAAACCCTCGACCAGATGAGCCACGAGGAGCAGTGGGTGCCCGTTAATTGGATCTACTAGAAAATCAAGAGAGAATACACTGCTGCAAAATCTACGAATAAGCTTTCACAATTTCGCCTTTTTGCATATAGACAAAGAATATATACTTGGAAAATCTATCAAATAATCAAAGGAATATCTCAGTAATCGAAGCTACAGAATCCCAGCACTATGCAGAATAAATACAAGGAGCACTACCAGAATCAGTATATTGTTAATTGCTAAATAACAATTGCCGACATTTTCCCTCTTGAAATGTAATCAATTTATGTAATGTATATATGCAATTTTTGTTGTATAATTTAAAATGTGTGCCCTCCGTTTGCGATTATTCAGTTTTTCCCCCTTAAGTCTAAGCCTATTTTTACGAAACGAATTCGTCCATTTGGCAATCTCTTATTGTTTATTTATATACAAAAACAATCTACGTTTATGTGTCGATGCATATCTATTTTCAGTTTTGTAATCTTAACGAATCTCCTCAGTACAACAATCCTTTCTGCCAATAAATATTTCATATAGTTTTTAGATTTGTTTACCGAACCTAGTTAAAATATTGACGTGTATTAAAAAAATGAAGATATAAATAAAAGTATGAATAAATTTGGCTCAAAGAAATTACATTTATTTTATGAATATGTGTGTTTAATGCCAAATTTCGATTTAATTGTTGTAGGGTTTAAATCAGAATATATATCTATCAAAAAAATGAAGTTATTAATATATTGAGCCTATAGAAGCTATAAAATAAAATACACAAGAATGGAGACTAACTTCGGAAAACCCCAGATATCAGATATCAGTCATAACTTATTTTAAAATATTCGCATTTTTTAAATCATTATGTATCGAGATTTAAATATGACATTCTTCTCGACAAATCAAAGTTTAAACAAATCTTAACATAGTCAAAAAGGCATCAGGACTTTTTTTAAATAAGTAAGGTAAATTTACCTAAAAAAGTAAAAGTACCTATGACCAGTAAGTAACTATGATCAGTAAGTATCTATAACCAGTAAGTATGTATGATCACTTGCTAACTTTGAACACTTATAAACAATGACTTGCAACTTTTGTAACACAACACATGCCTGAGACTTGGCCGGCAGAAGGTACTTCGTTCCGGGGACGTTTGAACTAGTTGGGAATCATAAGTTCACGTGCGCGAGATTTGTTTTGAAACAACAGAAAGTTTTTTGAAAAGAATAACTATGGAGTTATTCTTTTCTATAATTTTACTACTATGTAAGTCGAAGCATGGCGAATCGGTGGACTGAATATATATATATATATATAGCTGACATAGGAACGATCGGACGATTTATAGAACTATGATCAGTAATTAACTATGGTCAGTTATTAACTATTATCAGTATCAATAAACATTAAGTAAATATGACCAGTAAGTACCTATGACCAGTAAGTATGTATGATCAGTTTCTAATTTTAAATAGTTTAAAAAAATCATAACTTACCCAAAAAGGCATTAATTTTAAGTCTATGCTAGTTTTTATCAGGGTAATAAATCTGCTTTTAAAGTTTAAAACAAATTTGGCAATTTTTGACAATTTTGAAAAAAAAATAAAAAATTGCCAAAAAATGTTTTTCAACCGGACATGGCTAGATCGACTCGTTTTTTAGATGATGATTAAGAATATAGATTTATTTATAGATTTATAGGGTCGGAAATGACCCCTTCACATAATTACAAGCTTCTGACTGAAATTATAATACCCAACAAGGGTATACAAATCTAATTTCTAGAATCATGAAAAATGGCAATGATAAGAGTATATGAACCTATCTTGAAAAATATACAAAAAGTCTATATTTATGAATCTTCCCCAGTACAAAAAACTATCACAATGGAATTTTAAAATATTAAATATTAATGTGTATTGGTTCAATGTTAAGCTGTTTTATTATTTGTTTAGCCAGGCCCCGAAATACAATTTATTTACTGAATGTGAGTTTGTATAATGCCAAGCATTTTTAATCAAAATATGTGTAATAGGGAGCAGATGCACTAAATTAGGACGTATAAATGCCAAGGGACTTCTCAACCACGGCATGTGGCTGGCGCATTTGCTCATTGTATTCGGGAAGATTCATAAAGTCCTCAAAGCCGATGGTGTCGCAGCGTCCAGTCAAAACATCGTCCATTAGATTGCTAAGGTGTAGAAGATCACAACAAAGTAGTTGGTTAAAAGGGTTATCAAGAAAGCAGGCCAAACGCCACAAGCTTCCACTGAGAAAGACTGTTGGTATCGGAAAATGTAATAATACGACTACAATGTGTTACTGAATTAATGATCATTTAAAGAATTGATTGAAAATACTCATTCCTGCCCGAGTACCGCACACAAAGTTTCTAGATCACCACTTACCTCGAGGTAAGGAAGGGCAGACGACCAATTTGACGGGCGGCGAAGCGTTCCATGCCCATCTTCAGGGGAACTCCCAGGCCCTCACGGTTACGCAGCATCTGCATGTCCAGATTGTATTGATGTTCGTTGTAGGTCAGCTCCGAGTCGCGCAGACGATGAACATGAGCCAGTTGGTTAAAACAATTGGCCTCCGTGGGCATGCCCACTCTGCCGGCAGCACTCAGCACGGCCACCTCCACGGGCTTCACTTTCAGCGATGATTGCTCGTTCTGTGTTGAATAAGGAACTTTTTTATCATCTCGCCTAACTGCTTTACACGTTTAACTTACCATTTTTTTGATAATTTCAAAGATTTGTGAATATTTAACAGAATATCGAATGATTTACAAAATTTCTTGTTGAATGACAAACAAATTTCAGCAACAGTGTGACCAGCCGTCAAATTGTTTTGGACTTAAGCGCTAGTACGAAGAACTGTTATAAGAGTCAAAATTTGGTTGTAGAAATGGGTGCAGCTGTTATAAGCTATTGTCAAATGGGGTAAGTGTCTATGATAAAGGAAGGTATGGAACTAAATAAAAACGTTTTATTTAATTTCTTAGTGCATATTTATTACTCTTAGTTAAATTTAGTGATTAGCCCAATATGAAAATAGGATTTTCAGTAAAATTAAGAGCTAGCATAAATATGATCGGAAATTAATTTTGACCAGTAAGTATCTATGACCAGTAAAAAACTAAGATCAGTAAGTAACTATGATAAGTAAGTAACAATGATCAGTATATAACTCTGAACAGAAAGTATCTATGACAAGTAACTATCTATGACCAGCAAGTATGAATGATCAGTTACTAACTTTGAACACTAATAAACAATGACTTGCAACTTTTGTAACAACACTTTCTGAGACTTGGCCGGCAGAAGTCACTTTGTTCCGGGGATGTTAGAACCATTTGAGAATCATATGATATGATGATTAACTATGAACAGTAAGTACCTATGACCAGTAATTAACTATGACCAGTACGTAACTCTAAAACCTAAGTATCTATGACCAGTAATTAACTCTGATCAGTAAGTATCAATGAACAATAAGTAACTTTGACCAGGAAGTATCTATGAGCACTAAGTATCAATGACCAGTAAGTATCTATGAACACTAATGAACAATGACTTGCAACTTTTGTAACACAACACATTCCTAAGACTTGGCCGGCAGAAGGTACTTCGTTCCGGGGACGTTAGAACAAGTTGAGAATCATATGTTATGATGAATAACATTAACATTAAGTAACTCTGAACAGTAAGTATCTATAACCAGTTAGTAAATATGATCAGTAATTATCAGTGAACATTAAGTAACTCTGAGCAGTAAGTATCTATGATAAGTAAGTAACTTTGAACACTAATAAACAATGACTTGCAACTTTTGTAACACAACACTTTTCTGAGACCTGGTTGGCAGCAGTCACTTCGTTCCGGGGATGTTAGAACTAGTTGGGAATCATAAGTTCGCGTGCGCGAGATTAGTTTTGGAACAAGAGCAAAGCTATTTCAATGAAACTATGGAGTTATTCTTTTATATAATTTTACTAGTATATAAGTCGAAACATAGCGAATCGGTGGACTATATATATACATATATATAGCTGACATAGGAAGGATCGGAACATTTTAAGAAAAAAAAAACATAACTATTACAGTTTTCAACTGATTTGTATCAAATTTGATATATAGTCATTATATATTAATCTTAATTTGTGTTAAATTTTATGAAAATCGGACTACTATATCATATAGGTGCCATACAAACGATTGTTAAAAATATAGGAAAACGCAAAAGCAGGCATTACTTTAATGTTTTTCAACATAATAATAGATATAATATACATTGTACTAATTCCTAGTGATCGAATTTCAATCTGCAAGGGTATACAAACTTCCTTTCTTGTTAAAATTATAAAAATATGTTTGGTAAAAAATTAATAAAACAGTAATACAGAGAAAAATTGTTTGTTACTTATAATTTTCAGAAGTGTTCGTTTAAAAACTTTTTAATTTCATTTTCTGATTTGTTTACTATTATAAAACAAACACGTAAGACTTTACGAATTTAAATTAATTATTTTATGGCTTAGTTTATGATACATTTTAAATTTCAAATGCAAAGTGCAAATTTTAATTGAATTTTTAAAATGGGCTTCCTTTCTTGTTTCTTTCTAATTTAGTAAATACAAAACACATATGTAAAGGCATATTGTATTAAGAAATTAAAATAAATGCTTTACATATAAAACATTAAAAAGAAGTTTCTTTTCTTGGGCGTCACTTTCGAAGGGGGAAAAACTTGTGTCTGCCTGGCTTTTGGGTCGACGTAAATTTGTTTTATTAACGCGTTTAGCACATTTGGTCAAGTGACGAACCTGAGTGCTGTGATTAATTACACCCTCGCCTGGCCAGCAACGGATGGAGTAGATGTATCTCAAGTCCGAGCTCTAATCAATTCGATCAACAAATCGAACCGAAGAAAAAAGACAAAAAAACAACTGGCTCAAAGCGTTGTTTTCCCCTTTTTTGCGCCCACACCTTTTAGCGGCTTTTATGATCTTGTGCTCCACAGAGCAGCGATTCATTTGCATCCAGTGACAAAACACACGACAGAGTTTAATTAGTGCATGGTCACTAATAAACATTTGGGTGCTTCAGTGTGTTAATCAAACGCCCGCAACAATAGACGCAAACTGTCTACGGCCGATCCGATCCGATTTGAACTTGAAACCGAAAGGCAGACAAATATTAAACAAAAGTAAATAAATAAAAAATAAAATAATAAATACAAAACAAAAAAGCCGGATGGAAATATAGCTTTGCAGCTATATGATTTAATTATTTACAATTTCAGTAAATATTTATGTTGGGCTTTATAAATTATCAAATCAAAAGAATAATTATACATTTTAATTTATGATATGCAGTCAGTCTTCTGCTTTATGCTGTGCAAATTCCAATGTCTTAAAAATTACAATTTAGATATGTACATATTTATAATGATTAGGCTTCAATATATCTTATGGATTCAATTATTGGTAATAAATGTGTAATTATTATTCATAAAATAAATGCCTTCTTCATTATCATAAATTATTATGGACTTTAAAGCACATAACATTAGTTTCAATTTTATTTTAAATGAATGAACACTATTATTAGAAATCGCAATTAGATAATGGAAATTAAATTTATAGAGAGTCTAATAATTTTAGTCATATTTACAGCGTCTAGTTGATAGAAGAAAATGTTTCGATTATAGGATTTGATTTAGTAAATTGAGATGAGTGAGTCATTAAACTTAGAACATATTTTTATATTTACTGTGGACACTCCCTTTCTCCTTTTTTATCTTCAAATATCTTTCATCGATTGATTTATGGCATCTATACTTTCCGTTTAACAACCGCCGACCAATTAATACATAGTAGACGAGTCTGTGGCGAATCAACCCATTTACCAAGTCGAATATAAGTGTGTATATATATGGGTATATGAATGCCCAATCGAAAGAGTCAACTATGTATGGTCGGATGGAGATCTCAGGGCGAGAAGTTCGAAATGTAAAAGTCAAATAAAAATATAACGTCCAAGAATTAACATTTTTTCACAGCAATAAATGCATAAAAGTCAAAGATGTGTACACAAAAAAAAGTAAGGAGGGAACACATAGGCGTTACTGGAGGGGTCTTATGAGATCAGGGTATTCTTTTTTTAAGGCAGCTTGATTGGTCGACTATTCTCCATGGCTTTTTACACAAATAAACACTTTAAACAATAATGGTTTAGTAGATAACTTTAGAAATATATGTTAAATTTAGAGATCCCTTTGAAAGAAACCTCTTATATTAACTTCTAGATTTTTTAATATATTTTAAAATAATTGTAATATGGTTTTTGATTGATTCTTGATAAAAGTAAGACAAATAACTTTTTCCTTATATTATTGTATCTTTACCTTATAGTATTTAAAGATAGCTTTCCTATGCGTGTATGTTTTAATCTCTCAGTGTACAAGTACACTCTTTTATGTATGACATATATAGTATAAAATTTATAATCTTTTCCAGCCCATCTCCGCTGGATGCTGCACATCGTCTTTGGCCATTGTCATCGCTAATAGAGACATACGGCATCCACTGGGAATTGGAATTGATCACGGATCGAGATCGCAGGCAGAAGCAGGCTTCGTTAACATCAGAGAAACGGAAAAAGTTTCGTTACTTTTCTTGGCAGCCATAAACTTTTATGGCATCCAGTCGGAGCGGAAGACTAGGACAATGGATCTGGTATGGGGGGATCAGGGATCAGGGATCAGGGTTCTGGGATCTGGGAGCAGCTGTAAGCAGCAGTCGAGTCGAGATGATTGGGCATTATGCCGGACCAGAGTCCGGGTTATTCGGTATCTTTCTTTCTTTCTCTCTCTTTTTTTTAATGTCCATAGGGGTCGATCCGCTGCCGCTCTTTGACGATCCGATCCTCTTGCTCCCATGGGTGCCAATTAAGATACAAGGAAGAGGGTTGGCGCTGCCAATGGAGGAGGGGCAATTGCTGCTCTGGACCCTATTAGCAGCCATATTGCTGGCACACACTCAGAAAAAAGATAAATCAGAATTACAATAGGAATGTTGAAGTTTTTTTAGACAACTTAATTCTTAAAAGATTTTATTTTAGTTTTGAAAATCAGTAAATATGTATTTTTAGTAATTCATTTAAAGTCTATCCTCAGAAATTGAATTCTCATTTTCTTTTAAGAGCTAACATTGCCTTCAAACATTTATTTCACTAAGATATTCTCAAGCATGACACTTCTTTATTATTCTTGAAATATAAAACAAATCCATTATCCATTTAAAACATTTAATTTTTTCGTTAATTTTATACCCTTGCAGGGCATTCTAATTTAAGTCATTTTAAAACAGTGAAGGAGTCATTTCCGACCCTATAAATCTATATGTTCTTGATCAGCAATTTTGTCGATTTTTTTTTAACGATAAGGGGTTACATCGTGAAAATTTTCAAAAATTGGAAAATTTCAATTTTCTAAAATTTAAAATTGAGTATGCATAACATAAAAACGCTTTCCGAATTAAAATTAGGTAATTTTTAGCGTAGTTATGATCAATTTATCTTTATACCTTATATATAATATCCTGTCTAATTTATTGTTATCTTGTGTACAATGATATATCTATATACCCTCTCAACATCCTTTATAATTATATATTTAGAATACATATTTTTCCCTCCGTGTATCTATGTATCTACGGCTGCCATAAAAGTTATATCCCGTTCGTGAGTGATCTGAGTGAGATCGCTCCGTATACGCTTTATGGCCCCCATTTGCTGGGTATGTAGGATCCCTCCCTTCCCTCCATTGGCCAACTGCTTAGCCTTTCCAGAGAGATACATTGGCCATAAATCAGCCGGCTGAGTGAGAGATGCATCCGTGATGCATTTTATCCATTTTTGAGAATGTCTGTTATAAGTCGGGGAGAGGACATGGCGGACACAAAAACATAAGCTGTGAATTCGGCGTAATTTTGGCAGAGGCCTGTTGTGTAATGCAGTAGCCGGAAAATAAGACAAAAAAAAAACCGAGAAGTCGTCGGCAAAAGTCAAAAAAACAATTTCGTTACGCCAAGATGACCAAAGGCCAGCGACCATCAACCGGCGTCCAGAGTGCAGCAAGAAAAACGGGTTGAGGGGCGAGGGAATTCCACCAAATCGAGCAATATATATATATATGCCATATATCTCTGCCGATCTTTCGAGTTGTGCATGAAACCGAAACAGAAACAAAAAAACAAATGCAAACACACACTGCAGTCCGCTCCCAATTTGGTCTATCTTTTTTAGCGTATAGGTGCGAAAACCTCGTCCAACTTCCTTTATCGGGTTTATCCGAGGCAATGCATGTGTCTCTCACTGGCTATTTTGCATCTTTGCTCACATAAAAGTCAAAATATTTTCGGTTTCTTTTCAGAAACAAAACGTTGCTTTAATCTCAAAACGTTTTGCCCAGTTCGGTCACGGTTCTCCCGGTTGGAAACTCAGGGTGTATCAAAATCAGGGACAGGTTGTATATTTCTTGTTGCTTTGGCTTTGACATTTCCGATTCTGCTAATCGCCCGGCCCAATAAATCAACCCCTCAAGAGTCTTGTTCCAGCCGGGGTACAGCACTAGACTATACTTCTTATACTTGAACTCATACTATATGCTATAGGTTCCTATCGTCTGGCACTTCAGATCGACTTCAGTTTGTTGTGACGGCCGGGCGCCAAGTGAATGGGCTTGTTCCTTTGCACTGCATATACTATAACTGGGATTTCATTTAAATTCCTAATTTATTGAGGAATAAAACCCACTTTGTATTACCATGGATCACCGAACAATAATCTGAATCACTTATTATAATAAACTTGTTAAAAGAAATCGAAACTAGAAATTATTTTATGTAAGAAAAAAATACTTTAATATAAAATACTTTAATAAATAATGACTTCTATATCATCTACATTGTAAATGATATATAAGTATCAGCCTTTTATATAAGAGGAAAATGTTTTATATAATACACTTTGATTATATAGTGATTCCTATATCACCTGCATTGTAAATGTTTTAAGCTTTGACACCCCTGTTTGTCAGAAAAGGGTATATTCATTTAATTTTGGTTGGATTAAATTAATTTCTTTTATATAATATTAAAAAAAAATATGTTAAATAATTCAAAACTGTGTGAATACTCTAAAATCTTAAAGTTCCACAGGAAAACCCTTTCTATTTTATTATTATTACTCTGTTCTTCAGAAAATATCACATTCTGAAAAAAATTGACAATAATCTTATTTTATTAAATTTTGAATGGAGTATGCAGATTTACTACCCTTGTAAAAACTAACATAATAATTCTTTCCGAATTGAAATTAATGCATTTTTGGCATAGTTTTGAACTTTTTAAACTTTTATTTTGCGAAAATATTGTCTAAATAAATATTGAATAAAAAATGGAATATGGAGAATGGAAATATTTAAAACTTAGTTTTGATGGATTTACGGTTCAATCCTATAGTTCAACTGCAAACTTCAATATTATATATAATTGAGATAAAAAGAATAATTCCAAACGCCGTGTAATAATTTATTTTTACAGAAAATACATTTTAAGAACATTTATAAAAATATTTAAAATGTTGAAAAACAATATTGAACTGTTTTACTTAATGATTTCACCATGTACTTATTTAAATAGGTTTCGAATTGTACTACCATAAACTCCAAAAAAATATTACGAAAAACGGTTAAATGAACCTTTAACATTTTTTTTTTAAATAAATGTACATAAATTCACCCCAAATCAATTAAATTTAATTAACCCCGCTAATGGCAACAAAATACATCCGTCAGATACAGAATGACAGCTGATTCAATGGTCAGGCATGAGTGGAAGCGAGCCAACAATAGTACCATTGACTGTAATGGCCGAGCCGGAAATGAAGGTGGGGAAGTTTGACGCCTTTGTTGGTGTTGTTGATTTTAATAGGTGGAGCGTAACTGTTAATTATTAACCCCTATTAACCCCAACGCTAAATTAGAAGAGCGCCAATTGCTGGTACATTTTTTTGTTTGTTTTTAATAGTTTATTTAAATAGCTAAGCACATATACACACACTTACAAACGTACAAAAGTTATAAATTAATTGCCGCCATAATTGAACTAAAGAAATCATTTGAACACGCTAAAAACTGTGGGCGAGAACGTTAAAAATATTTATTTATATGGTAATTTTGCTTTTGTGCTCGATAATGATGCATTTTACATTTAGTACAACTAGATTAGAGACTAAGGCTAATTGTTATTACGATGTATAAAAGTAATAAACGTTAAAACACTTTTATGTGGATATTTACACGGGGTGAAGAATCAATTTGCTCTTTAAAATTAATTTGCTTTCACTAAATTATTTGTTAAGCTTCTTGTAATTTATTAATTTCTGTAAACGGCTGGGACGGCTGTTGTGAATCGTTTCGTTTTGTTTTTTTGTTTTTCTTGGGCACCTTAAAGCTAAAACTTACACGCTAAACATTTACTGTATATTTAAATTACTTTGAACAAAAACAAACAAAATACATACAAGAAGGGTGGTTTTGAAACGGACTTGGTGACAGGACGGAGTCAGAGTTAGCGTGCGAACACCGGGAATATACAATCACAAAAATTAACAACGTGCAATATTCCAAGTGTAACGTTAACTGCGCTCCTCACTTAAGTATATTTTAATCTAAAACCCGCATGGGGATCGAAACAGTCTGACTGTGCGACCCAAGGGTTAAGCCAAGTCCAAGGCGAGAGAGGGACCACTGTACGCTGAGCCCCTCTCGGTCTCCCCCATCAGGGAATGCTGGGGATGCGGCTCCATGTAGCTGTTCTCACTGCCACCGCCATTGTGCCACTATGCACTATGCCGTTGTTCCCATTCCCATAGCAGGGATCGTGTCACATCGAGAGCGTTCCCACTGCCGCTGCCGCGGACATCTGTGCACTGTGCTGCTGCTGCAGCTGGTGTGAATGCGCCGCCGCCGCCGCCAGCGAGTGGCTATGGGCGGCCAGATGGGGATGCAGGCGCATGGCGGGTATATTCATGGCGGCCATCGGATTCATCGGATGGGTGAGGGCATGGGGCAAATGCAGCCCGGCTCCAGCTTTGCCTTGGCATCCAGCAGCTGGCTGTAGTCCGTGTGCTGCACACCCACACCCATCACATTGGGATCGCTGCCCTTCTTGTTCTGCTTGCGCTCCTTGGCCCGCCGATTCTGGAACCAGATCTTCACCTGGCGCTCTGATAGCGATAGCGTCTGAGCCAGCTCGCTCTTGCGTCGAATGGTGATGTATCGGGATGTGCAGTACTCCTTCTCCAGTTCCAGACGCTGGAAATCCGTGTACACCACGCGGTATTTGTCCTTAGTGCGGGTTTTTCCTAAGGAATAAATAAAAGAATGCATTTATTAGTTGGGTTGTTAAATGTAAGGAAAGTTAATATAGAATATCATGCTAGAACTTGGTTATTTCCTTTTAAATGTGGTAGCAATAATTGAACAAATCTTAACAACATGCCAAAACGAATTTTAAAGCGTTTAAGCCTTACATTCTTGAGATAAAACCAAACTTTTATAAAACTAAATAGATGTTTCTATAACAATCCATTCGAGTCAATCCAATCAAAAGCAATACATTTATAGAAAAACAAACCTAAGCATTTTGAAGATCTTTCAAGATCATGTGTGAGATTGTCGTCAGAGGGCCATGACTCTTGCCAAGTTAACGAGTTACCAAGTTGCCAAGTCGCCTTGTTCCCTGTTTAAAATGGGTGTCAATCCAATGGAGTGACTGGCGTCAGGTGGACAAACATGTTTCTTACCGGCTCATCTCATTAAAATAGATGACAATATTTAAATTATGATAGCCATAGAAAGCTGTCACATGCCATCATATGGCAAAGATTGGAGCCACCACCCAAAGTCGAAGCGGTGAACATGAAAAGCCGACATCGCACTGTCATCGCAATTCTTTGTAGAATTGTGAGAGAAGGTCCTGATCTACCTACCTGGCGCTGAGCTGCGCAATTAGTCAATCAAAATTCAAACAAAATGACAGAAACTGAAAAAACCACAAACACCAAAAGAAAAAAATAAAGAAAAAACTAAGAACACTGAAGATTTGGATGAGCTGCAGCAAAAGGCATGAAAAAGGCCACGGGATCGTGGCACACAGTCTGCTTACGTGATAAACACACACCCACACCCAGCTAGAGTATATTTCTAAGCAAACAGCATTTCGGGTTGGGGATTTTGCTCTAATTTTTTTTGTTATGTATGTATAGCCCCTAGATATACCGTATACGTTAGTGTTCTCACAATTAAAATCGAGCAAACAAACAAATATTTTCACAGATGATAAAGTTCACCAGCAACAGAAAAAAGATATATAGGGTGAGGAGAAAGAAAGAGAGAGAGGACGAGGGGATAGGTAATAACAAAGTGCAAAGACTAGGTGTTAAAGACCTCAAGATGCCCTGCAAAACTAATATGATAAATGATATATGAGTTCTAATAATGATATAATAATAGATATATAAACCTAAACATAGGTGAAAATAATTAAGAAGATTAAGCTTAAACCTTTTTAACAACTTGTTAAATATAAATTGGTAATAAATGAGCTAGAAAACGCCTTGCTCATAATTAAATAAATAATTACATGCATTTTAAACTCAATTCCTATCATTTGACTAAAGAAACAGAACATTTAAATGTTCTATTAATCTTGAAACAGAATATCTTGTTAATAATTTTCAAAAATATATATCTCTCTTTTAAAAACCCCAAAACCAAAAACTCCATTAAACCGTTGCTTCTGCTCGCTTATCTCTCTCACTCTTTTATTTGTTCTTTACACTTTGTTTAGACGTGAATTTATTGCTGTCGCTCTTTGCTTAGTCTAATGTGGCAATCGTATAAAGAATAACTCGAGAAGAAGAATAATGTTAAAACCCTGTTAAGTACACATCTCATAATCTAGTTTTTTTTTTTTGCTTCACTTAATAAATCTAAAATTTTCAGTCTACATTGCCATTTTTGTACCCTTAGTGAGGGAAAATCTTCTTGCGCGTGTTCTTGGGCCCCCAATCTAAGCACTGATAAAGAGCAAATCCAACACGGAGAACAAAAAAAAAGAAATAACTTGTTTAGACAGACTTGACGGATTTGAGGAAGTGCACAAATAAAGAAAAATTAAAACAACAATATTATCAGCTTTTGAGGATTTACCAGTAAATTGTAGAAAATAAAACATATTTTCGAATGATTTCGCAATCTGAGGTAAGCTATGAGTAGGATGAGACGAGAACTATTCTCGTAGGTGTTAGGAAAGTTACGTAAAAAAGCTGAAGAACTTATTTCCGTAAACATAAAAACATAGCACAAGTTGATAAGAGGAAAGAAATTTTACTACTAATAGTAGACGACTCTGTGTTTTTTATAGTTTAACTGGTTTTCTATATGTGCGAAAAAAAACATAACACTTAATACATAAATATTCAAAGCTATATAATATGATTTCAGGAAAGCTTGGGTGTTTTCTGCATTTGATATATAATTTTAGGTTTGGTTTTAAGACATTTCACCATTTGAAAAACTCATAACTCAGCCAAAAAACCATAAATTTTAATTCGGAAAGCTGTCTATGTTAGCTTTATAAGGTTAATAAATCTACTCAATTAAATTTTTAAATATGATTTATAGGTTCGGAAATGACTTCTTCACATAATTACAAGGTTCTGATTTAAATTATAAAACCCTAGCAACATCATACTATTTCAGAACCCATATTCCACCAAATTATCATTCTAGATCACAGTTTTTCATGCATCTTGACCTCATTTCGACCATCTGTGGATCAAAAGCACAGTACACCGCACAGCATCACATTGGGGTTATCTTTAGCTAAGACTCAGAAGACACACTGAGTAAAGGCTTTATCTGGTTACCACTTTGGAGGCTCCAATTTCTCACACCTTAAGCGGAGCACAAACATGGAAAATCCGTGCGGAATTAGAGGCAAACTGGAGCGCTCTTTGGTGGTTCACGGGTTGCCTGGCACCACTGACCTTCACGGCCATAATCTAATAAATCGTACACGTATTATGTGCACAACTATAAAGTCACTATCCCTAGCCCAGCCCAGTCGCACTGAGTGTTTTATTGAGTACCCATAAACCGGCCAAGACAAAACCCCATGAATGTGGATCAACTTGAGCTAATGCTAATGCTATATATTGTCTGAACCACTAAGATCCTAGATCCAGATTCTACCCTTACTCCAACCGACAGATAAGATTATGAATGAATGGCGAAAAAACAAAGGGGGATTTCTGAATCTTCAAAATAAAACCCAAAGTCACTTGGGCAAATAATTGTGCTCGAAAATCTTTCTGATATATATATCCAAAAAGAGATTTATACATAATATATATATTAACCGGTGTGGGGGCTTTAGCATACAAATATATAGCGCATTTTATTAGCAATTAAATAAAAAAATTGTGCGTCAAGGTGTGACATTTTTTTATGACTTTGTCACTAAGGGGGCCCCAACCACCACCATAATTTATATCGAACGCGAGGTTCTTCACTCCCCGATATATATATATTTCTATATATCCACGTGTAAGTACCTTTGCCTAATTGAAAGTTTGATTTTCAACTGGTAATGCCTATTGACTGCATTTGTTTGCCATCGAATATCATCATCCCCCTCTCCTCCATAATGATAGATTAGTTAGTTGGCTTAGGCCCGTCGGCAAAAGTTCTAAAGGGAGTATATATATATATATATAGTCCAACTTGGGTGGAGGAACACATACACGCTCTCTCTCCTAATCCCAGTTGAGGTCTGTATCAATATCGATGGAGTTACAGAACTGGAAAATCGTTCAGCATTTGTCCAGATAAGCTTTAATGGTTGTTCTTCACTCGTTGGAGTGTGTTGTCTAGCAGGGTTTATGGTCTGATTGGTTTCTATATTGATTCCTGCTGAAGAAGTTGACACTGTGCGAAATAATAACTTTCTTGACTTATTTAAAATACTATAACTTATGAAGTCACCTTTAAATTGCAACTCTAACTAGATATTTTTTAAATATTTTTAATAGATTTCTGCTTTAGGTTTAAAAACCCCTCTGAGATCTTTCAGTGTCTTTATTAATTCCTGGCTAAACATTAGCAAAACCTACTGTAGACTCAATTGCAACAAATGTGCAAACATTAAATGCCGACAAAGAAATGGTGTTTAAACAGTGAAAAATCCATTGTGGCAAATGTGCTTCTCTAATATCAAATACAACAAGAAATAGAGCATGAGTAAAGATCATTTGGGCCATAAATTATATCAGGTTGAGGTCTACTCCGAAGTCTTTTCCCCTTCCTATTAGAACAGCTGTTGATTGCGGCCAATTATGTGGTCCGGCCCCGGGGAAAAATCAGTGCCAAGGACAAGGACAGTTTTACTTGAAGTTTGTAACAGATACATACATTTGGTTAGTTACGGTCAAATATAATGGCTTGTAACCACAAAAGTGGTGGTTCATCCACCCCGTCGAGCCTTAATTTGTCACTGAGTGTGTGTGTTGAGCGTGTTAACACCCCCTGTGACATCTTTCTGTCCTTTCGGTTTGTCTCTTTTGGAACTCGGGAAAATTCTATTGGGAGACATTTATTACCTGACTTCCATAAGTTAACTTTTGCTTGAATTTAAACGTTTTTGTGGTTAAAGATTAAAGCTCAAAGCAAAAGTTTTCTGACAGTAGAAGAGGAAATCCCCGAAAGCGAGCGGCAAGAGCAATTTCATCAATGGCACCCCAGAGATTTGGGACTGGCAAAGCCACAAAAACACTTGACTTTTTAACACCCCTTTGCTTCACACCAACTTAAAGTGTTTTGGCGAAATATTTTTGGGGTTTTTCTTTGCTACTTGTATTTTTCCTTCTTATATTTGTTTTTTTTTTTTGCACTGTTTTTGGCAGAGTGGCTGGGTTTTCCAGCATCATAAATGGGGCGGAGTTCCGGCTGGCTATATGTTTGTTTTGTCTCTCACCACCCAAGCGACAATATAACAATAACATTTATTTGGCATTTTGCTGCTGTTTTAGCTGCTCTTATATCGTAAATATTAGCTCAAATTACATCATAAAATCATTTGATTCGATTTGACGTTTATTTCTCTGCCGTTTTCCTTATTTCCTGGCTTAGAGCCTACCGGAACTGTTTCCGGTCCTTGAGGGGTTTCGGTGTAAGACGGCAAAAGGGGTTACAGAAGGAAGGATTTTTTGTTCTTTGAGGCTTGTAAATTAAGGCTGAGTCTGATTCTTTTGGGGTTTGAGTAGGGGGGATTTTTAGAGAGAAAATTTATGAGTCTTATATA